CCCTTCTGGACATCAAAGTAGGCAATATATTCATGACCAAGTCCTCAAAAGCAATTGCAACAAAAGCTGAGAAAGACAGGTAGTACCCTCCTTATCAAACTGACAAGTTTTTGTACCACAAAAGAAACCATCAAGAGAGTCAAGAGACAACCCACAGAATGGGGGAAAAATTTGCAAGCTATCCATCTGACAAAGGCCTAACATCCAGGATCTATAAGGAACTCAAAAGAATCTAAAGGGAAAAAAAACAAAGAACCCCATTAAAAAGTGAGCAAAGGACATGAATGGATACTTCTCAAAGGATGACATACAAGCAGCCAACAGACACATGAAAAAATGCTCAACCTCACTAATCATCAGAGAAATGCAAATCAAAACTGCAATGAGATACCACCTAATACCAGCAGGAATGGCTATCACTAATAAGTCAAGAAACAACAGGTGCTGGCACAACTGCAGAGAAATTTCTTACTGTTGGTAGAAATGTAAGCTAGTTCAATGTCTATGGAAAGCAGTGTGGTGATTCCTACAAAAACTAAAAATTGACCTCCCATACAATCCAGCAATCCTTCTCCTGAAAATACACCCAGAGGAACATAAATCACTCTACAAAAAAGACACCTGCACATGCATGTTTATTGTCACACTATTCACAATAGCAAAAACATGGAACCAACTCTGCTGCCCATCAAAAGTAGACTGGATAAAGAAAATGTGGTATGTATACACAATTGAATATTATGCAGCCATAAAGAAAATCATGGTCTTCACGGTAACTTGGATGAAGCTGGAGATCATCAAACTAAGTGAACTATCACAAAAAGAAAGAACTGAATACTGCATGTTCTCACTCATAAGCGGGCCCTGAACTCTGGTCACTCTAGCACAAGGGTGAAATTGGCAGATGATAGACACTGCTAGAGGAGGGAGGGGAGGAGGCACATGACAGCACACTGGATACATGGTCCACTATTGGGGAGAGAGGGCACCCTAGAAGACCAAACTTGACCTGCATGCAACCTACTTATGTAGTAAGTAGTAAATCTGGCTTTAGGTAAAGGAGATGATCTGAGATCACCTGGCTGGGCCTCATTCAATCAGTTGAAAGGCCTTACAAGCAGAACTGAAGTTTCTTTGAGGAAGAAATAAATTCCACTTGTGGACTGCAGCTTCAGCTATTGCTGAAGAGTTCCAGCCTCCCCTTCCCAATGGCCTGCCCTATTGATTTTGGATTTACTTATTCAGTTCCACAATTATATAAGTCAACTTCTATAATAAACCTCTTAATAGACTGTTTCTAAAAAGTGAATTTTAATTTACAAACTTGTTGGAAGTCAATGATAGGATTCCACTCAAAGCAAATAAATAAAATAAAGTTTTAGTGTCTTCGGTGAAATTTTCTAATCTGAATACAGATTCACAACTGCATACCAGGCATCTCCTCTTGAATATTACTCTAATGCCTCATTTCAACATAGTCAAAATGGAATTTGCCACCCTCATACACTTCCCACTAACCTGCATGCCTACCCTGACATTTTCCTCTCTGATGTTCCCAGTCTCAGACTCTGAGCAACCTTCCTTGCCACTGTCCTTTTTCTCTTCCTTAGTCTATACATACTATCAAGTCATCAGGTCTACTCTGCCTGCCCTGGCCTCCTTTCTGGTCATTATCACCCGACCTAAATGGTTACAAGAGTATCCTAATAGATCTCTCTGCTGTCACCTTTACCTAGTTCAGATTCATGCCTCATAATGCCATCAGCCAGCTTCCTATAAGGCAGAAATCCTCTTGGATCACTCTTGCTTAATATCCTCTATCACTTCCCCAACTGCCACCATGTTAGAATACAGAATACTTGCATGGCATACAAGGCACTCCATGATCTGGACTGCTCAGCTCTCAAGGAGCTTGTTTCTCTTACAGATCTCCAAAGGATCCATTTTTCTCTTGCCAAAAGGCCTCTGCTGAGGAATAAAACCTAACAGCCTTGCTGCAGGGCAATGAAACATGAATATATACATCCAAATGATCGTCCACCCTTAGTAGAAATTCCATGTATCATAGCATCCTCCCCCAAATTAATCTTCACCTTCCATGTGCTTTAGAACTATCCTTTATAAAAATTTATCCAAGATTCACCTTAAACTGAATGTAGAATAAACTTCCTCATGTTCAAGAAATACTCCCAGGTCCTGCATCTGGTTTTCATAAGACATGACGCAAGTATAAACAGTGAATGTTTCATCTAAGCAGTTCTACACACACCCTGTGTGCATGGAGCACAGACACACCAAGGTCGTTATTCCGTCTTCCATAGTACACATATAGACTGTCTACCACCATGCCACCAGAAAATTTATTTTATGATTTAACATGCTTTTGTACATTTTCTCCAACAACACCTCTCCATTTCCAAACAGGTTTCCATTTTAAAGGTCTGTTCACTCATACAAAAGGAGAATCATTAACACACAAGCCCGCAGGAAAATTAAAATTTTCTTGTCTCAGAAATACTCAGCAAAAGGTACTGTCTCTAATAACCATCTACCTATAAAGCACTGAAAATGAAGTCATAGGATATTTTTTAAATGAAATGGAGAAAATGTCTTAAAATTAAGAGCAGGAGAGTAAAACATCATGCAAATTATAATAGAAAATATGCTAAACACAAACAAATATACATGCTTACCTTTAAATAAAGAGATTTTAGTAGGGTCTTAATAAATACCTTCTTTTTTTTACTCTCTCTGAGTCAAAAAAGACCATTTTAGCTACATTAAATTATTTTGAGAAGCAGAATGATATCATATATTTGAGTATTTTCTTCAGCAACCTTTCTCTCTTGGTGTTGCCATAAGACAAGTGATTTTGTGTTTAGTTATTTTTATTTGAAAGATTTCAAACATTTCTATTTACATTTATGTCTTCCACTCTTTGAATATTCATTAAACATTGAGAAGAGTTTTGGCTATGATAGGAATATATCCTAAGATAAAATATGTCAGAAGACATCATTAAACTCTACAGCAAGCCTGTGTTTTGCTGGTGCTCATTACGAGGGTTCATTTCAAGCCTCCTTTACTCATTGTCTTTTAGCCATTACCTACACACGTGTGTAGCCCAGATAGCTGTTGAAATTAACACCATTACATAAATTAAGCATCTGTGAGCATTTATAGGTCAGGCTTATTGCTGTTTAAATCATAAAGAAGAATATATTCTCTCATCTACCCACATTCAGAGCCTTCTATAATCCCAAAATCCATATGATGGCTAAATATTTTATCATTTAACATTTATAGTGACTTCATGAGACATAAGAGGGTGAAACAAAGGAACAGACTTAACTTTGATACTTGCCTAGTCACACTCATTACACCAAGTCATAAATGTATTGTGCAATGAATAAGAAATAAGAAGTAATGTACGTAAACAAGGATTTCCACTAAATAAATCTTAGTAACTCAACAATGAAACACCTTCAGTCTTTATGCATTTCAGCAAGTAATAAATAAGCCTATTTCAAAAAAGGTCTGCTTTTACAATTCTGTAACTTTTTAATGAAAATAATTTCAAACTTGGAGAAAAATTATAAGAATTCAAATAGTTCAAAGAAAGCCTCTACACCCTTTATCCAGATCCACACATTTGCTGACATTTTACAAAATAGTCTTTTTTATGTTTCAAGAGAAAAGATTTCCTAAGAACTCATTTTAAAAAGGTCATCAGGCCAGGCTCGGTGACTCAGCCTGTAATTCCAGCACTTTAGGAGGCCAAGATGAGTGGACTGCCTGAGCCCGCAGGTTCGAGATCCACCCAGGCAACTTGGCAAGACCTCATCTCTACAATAAATCAAAAATTAGTCGGACATGATAGTGCACGCCTGTAGTTCCGGCTACTTGGAAGGCTGAGGTGGAAGGATCTCTGGTGCCCAGGAGGTCAAGGCTGCAGTGGCCGGGAGCATGCCACTACACTCCAGTCTGGGCGACAGAGTGAGACTCCAACTCAAAAAAAAAAAAAAAAGATATCAGGGTCATACTGGTGAGTCAGGATCAAAGGATAGCCGTCAGTATTTACTTAGGATTTGTACACAGGGCACTGCAGAGGCAGCAATGTCGAACGATATAATCTTTGTCCTTGCAGAACCATGTGAACAACTGGGAAAGGTAGAGACATACATCAGATGACAATGGAACACATGTTCACAAACATCTCAAAAACAATAATTGTCAAACTGATGTGACAGTGATATGGCATAAAAAAGTAATCAGTAAAAGAAGTAAAACTGGTAGACAAGGAGACTTCTCCAATTGAAATAGATTTTGAACTAAGTCCTAAGTGAGAAGGCCGATATGATAGGCAGGACTAGGTCAGTCTACACAGAAAATGGGAGGTTCAAGGGCACTGATGCAGAACTACCTGGGAGCACAAAAAACATTCAGACATGTTTCATAAGATCTCATGACTTTTTTAAAGTGAAGATTTTTTATTAGCACATTTCATGTAGAAGACAAATTTGAACCTCAGACTGATATCATAACAGTCACCAAGCTAAAGAAATAAAAGTAATACCTTCCAGCCTGATATTCTTAGTTGCAAACTAAGCAATAGAGCTTTTGCAGCTTTTATATTAAACACGTATAATAAATAGAGAAAGAAACAACTTCACATTAAGGGAAAATGCCTTTATAATTTAGAATTCAATAAAGCTAGCCGTAATAGGGCTTAAAATGACAGAAAACAGAATAACTATGAGCTTCCAACTCTAAATAAACAATTATTGCTTCCATAAAACAAGGGGATCCCCCCCTCTAATATTAAGTAAAAACATTTTATAGATCTTATTTCCAGAAACCAATTATTCACAGGAGAGCATGGGTTTCACAGCAGAATAAGGTGATAACCTCCCCATTTAACAGTAATAAATTTGCATGTAGATGGATCGAAAGAGGGCAGTACAAATACAAGTGCTGGTTGTAGCTTTCCAGGCACTTACCTGCATCTGCTGTTTGAGCTCCCTGGCCAAGATATTGTCCTGAAGAGCATTCTCCCGCTGAGAGGCATCTGAAAGCACATTCACTGTGGTTTCTGCTTCTTGGATCCACTTGAGGAAGTTCTCCAGATCTCTGCGAGAGGCCTGTACAGTCCTCAGCTCAGCCTCCAAGGCATTCTGTCTGTCAGTAATACTGAAAGTAACAACATGACAGCACAGGTCCATTACTTTTAGTGTGACATTCCACATTATGCACACCCTAAATAAAAAATTAACAGACAGCCTCAAAGGATCTTTTATTTACATCACCAAAAGTGACTAGGAGATACGCTTATGTGTGTGTCTTGAATAATTCTTAGTGGAGGAGTCATGTGAGTTATGAGAAGAGGGGAAAGGAGACAGATATATAAATATTAATAAAATTACATCCACGTCATAAAATAATTATAACTACATTTTACATCTCATAATTGTACATTAAGTTATTCCTCCATATGTTATAAGTCAATACTGTAATATAACGCCAGACATCCAAAAGGCAGTATCAATAAATATTCATACAACCAGTAATTAAATGAATTCTTGGAAGAAGTAAAATCTAAAGAAATATTTAAGATAAAATAAAAATAATTTAGAGGGCTGGCATGACTTTTTAAGCAATTCAGATCAATACAAGTTGGTTTTTAAATTTGATTTAATAATCTTTGGAACACATGGACAATCAAGCTTTTATAAACCCTTCATTAAATCTACATCAACATCAGAACATGAAACTATCCTGGAGTTACATGAGTTAAAAGATACACACTCCTGCAAATTCAACATTTAAAATTTTATATGACTTAGAGCTCCATAATAAGAAAACAAAAAACTCGATTTTTAAAATGGGTATCATTGATTTCACTCTTAGGTATTTAAACTCAAGAGAACTGAAAACATATGTCCACCCATAAACTTGTACACAAATGTTTATAGCAGTGTTATTTAAATAGCAAACTTGTAGAGTCAACCTAAATTGAGGAGAAATTGATAAACTAGAATAATATTCTGCCATAAAAAGGAATGAAGTACTGCTACATGCTATGGCATGGGTGAAACTTAAAAACATTATGCTAAGTGAAAGAAGCCAGACACAAAAGGCAATGCATTGTGAAACTCCACTGATATAAAATTTCCAAAATAGGTAAATTCATAGGGAGAGAGAGTAGATTAGCTGTTGGTTATGACTGAAGGGCGGGGGCCTATGAAAATTGACCACTAATAGCATGGGGCTTCCTTGGTGATGATATATCTTCTGAAATTAAGAATGGAATGGTGATGGTTGTACAACAAGGTGAATACAGGAAAATCACTGAGCTGTAGACTTTAGAAGGGTAAATTTTATGGTACAGTAGCCCCACCTCATCTGCAGGGCACACAGATCCAAGACACCCCGTGGATACCTGAAAATGCAGACAGTACCACACCTTATATACATTATGTTTTTTCCTATACATACATACCTATGATAAAGTTTAATTTATAAATTAGGCACAGTAAGGGATTAACTAGTAATATAATACAACAACTAGCAATATAATAGAACAATTAGAACAATGTCCAAAAAGATCTGTGAATGCAGTAAAAGCAAAACCAAAAAATTGGATTGTATCACAATAAAAAAACAGCATATCTAATATAATCTCATTTATATATATTTCCTATCTGTCCACACACTCACCCTCCTATCTGTTCTTCTACCTGTATATTTACACAGAGGGAGAAGTGTCTGAAATATTAACTCAATATTAAAATTTTTATTTCTGGTTGCTGGGGCTTAAATTGACTTTCTTATTTGTAATTTTTTACAGTTTTGAATTTATAATGAAAAAGGATCTTTTTTTACACATCAATAAACACATCCCTTTTACAAATTTTTTTTTCATATTTTATTTTAAATATGTGGGGTACAATTCAGGATTAGATATACAAGTGCCCATCATACAAATAAAGCTTGGGCTTTCCCTGGGTCCCCACTTTGCCTGGTTTGAGATCAGGTTCCCTTTTTGATGTTATGTGCCCCCCACCCATCTCAGCAGTATCCTGCTATTGCCAATCCCCTTCCCATAGTATTATGGTAAATGTTCAAGGTCTGCCTATGAGTGAGAGAATGTGGTACTCAGTTCTTTGTTTCTGTGATAGAACACTGAGTATGATAGACTCTAAATCCAAAAATGGGTAAAAGATGCAGACTGATATATCACCACAGAAGATATATGGATGGCAAATAAGCACATGAAAAAGATGCTCAGCATCATTAATCATCAGAGAAATGTAAATTCAAACCACAGTGAGATATTGTTACATATTTACAATGGCTTTAAGAGAATGTCTATACCAAAAGCTAGTGAGAATGTGAAATAACTGCAACTATCATACACTGCAGGTAAAAGTACAAAATGGTACAGCCATTTTGGAAAAGGCAGTTTGCTACAAAACTAACCATGCACTTAACAACACAACCCAGTAATCCAATTCCAAGGTATTTACCCAAGAGAAATGAAAACATGTCTACACAAAACCTGTATGCAAAGTTTATAGCAGCTTTATTTGCAATGGCCAAAACCCGAAAACAACCCAAATATCAACTGGTAACTAGATAAACAAGGTATGGTACATGGATAAGATCTCACACACATTCTGCTAAGTGAAAGAAGCCAGAAACAAAAGACTACATACTATGATTCCATTTCCTTGACATTCTGGAATGCCAGCAACCTCATCCTAACATGTATTTACTAACCTGCAGAATAAATTCAAATTGCTTCACACAGAATTTAATGTCCTCCACAGTCTATCACCAGTTTACTTTTCCAACTTTATTTCCCCATTTTCTCCCAAACTCTGTTCATAGTGGTATGCTCTCTTTTTATCTAAAATAGTCTTAATACCGAGTCCACACAAAAATTTTATATCCATTTAAAAAATGTCTTTCTAATACCTCCATCTATCAAAATTCTGCCACTCCTTTAAGAGTTAAGAATCACTTCTTTCAGAACATCCCATCTCAATTGTTTCCTTGCTCTCAGTTCATAAAAGGTCAGGACTTCTCTTCATACAACAAATAATCACATGTATCCTGGAAAAGTCCTTGGATTATGAGCTCATTTCATGCTTAAATTTTACTTCAACTATATCATATAGCTTTCTTGTCTGTTTACCTATCCTATAAACTCTCTGTGGGCAGAAATGATATTTTTATGGCTCCATATTCCTTAGAGTCCCTATTAGTGTTATAATAGGTATTTATGAATAATGACAATCAATTAGTCCCATACCTTTAAAATTAGCTCCCACATGCCATTTTTCAAGATGTTCCTAGGAGATGTCTTCCACAAAACTCAGTTGGAGAATCCAAGAAGGAGAATTATGTGAGAAGAATTTTTTAAAAAGAGAGAGAGATCTAATCCAGGGAAAAGCGAAAGGGTGTTTATGCTATTGATGAAAGGAGATTACAGAAAAGAGGGTGTGAATCCAAACTGGAGCAGATGCGGGCTGTCATCACCATTGTGACCACTATATAGCCTTGTTTTAACTTGACAAAACTCACGAAATGTACACTCAGAAAAAAACTCACAAAGCATACACTCAGAAAAAATTAGGAAATAACCCAAAAGAGGGAAACAACAAAATGAAGAAAGAAGGAAGGAAGGAAGTCATGAGATCAGAGAAATAGGGAATCCAAATGAGGAGAAAAACAATGAAAATACCTAGTGTGATGGCTATGCAGCAGGTCTAGAAAGCATGTCTCCAGAAGAGCTGTCACCAAGAAACAATATTAGAAGTGATAGCCTGCTTAATGTGATTGACTTTGTGGAAAATTGTACTGTCAGGCCATTGGAAAATGTGGGAAGAATTAGCAATAGGTGCAAAGAAAACTAGGCATATCAAAACAAAACAATTATTAATTTCAGGTAAAACAGAGGAAACAAAATTATAGTAAATTTCAGTGCTTGGCTGTTAATAATGTTTGAACAGGCATAATAATGTCAACACTGAATATCTATTTACCTAAAAATTCAATGATAAAGAAGGGAAGAAAATAGTGGCATAAGAAGGCTATTTCCTACATAGGGATGTCAGTAGATACCTTATTTTGTCTAACAGTGGGGAATTGAAAGATAATAAAATACTCATTACATTTAGAATGTGAAAGTGTGAATGATATAAAGAAAAGCTTAAAAAGATAGTATTTGCATCCCGGGAGGGGGAGTTCAGTAAGTACAGAGAGAATAACTATTTTGTTATAAACTTTTCAGTTCTTTGGAAGGGCTTTTGTTCTATGTAATCATAGGTGTATATTTCTTTAATTTTTAAGATATTGAAGTTACCCATCAGAATTTGGATGGTTGGTGTTTTATCCTATCCTAAACCCTGTCCATATTTTCCATTTTTAAAACATCAACCAGGGCAAACCACTTTTGGGTCCCCTCTTGCTGCCAAGAGCTTTTCTATCTCTAATAAACTCAGCTTTGCTCACTCAAAAAAAAAAAGGAAAGCTCTTGGCAGCAAGAGGGGACCCAAAAGTGGTTTGCCCTGGTTGATGTTTTAAAAATGGAAAATATGGGCAGGGTCCAAATGTATATAAAGAATAAAAGCTGTGTCAAAAAGGTACTGAAAGGAAAAGGTTACAGGAAAAGGTACTGAAAGGAAAAGGTTACAAATGTGCAATGAATTCACCATGAACAAGTTATTCTTATTTATAAGGAGATAACATTTACTCAGTATGTCACATCTCATCATAAAACATAGTAAAGTCAATGCTTCATTTTCCATAATCAGATTCCTTTTATTATTTAAGATTATTCATATGCACATAATAGGTTATGTGGCAAAAGTTAAAGTAAAAATAGATGATTATAGATCAGTTCTATTAAACTCTGAGAATAGCCAGACTAGGAAAAAGGATGCAAATGTCTAAGAATCCCAAGGGTGATGGCAGAAGGTTCCCTACACATGAGAGACATCTATACCCAATGAGTGTTAAGGGCCAGGCTGGCAGGAGAGGCAGACAACCTAAAGTCATGCTTCACAGGAAGTGAGCTAAAAGGATCATGAGCACTTGCTCCAGACAGTGCTCCACTGGGTAGAGTAATTCCAGCAGCACACTTTGGTGACCAGTGGAACATTCTCAATCCAGAAACCACAGCACCT